TCCCCACTTCGTCCTGATCCCAACTCCATCTTTCCTCTCAAGTGCGAGGTTCTTAGGAGGGGTTCCACATTTTGTACTTTTCACATGCATGTGAAGCCTCGAGACTGACTTTCTTTGGTCCAATATTTTCTAATCAGCCAGCAAGGCTTCATCATTTTTGTAGCAAGGAGAGCTTAGCCCCCAGAGGCAACTTTTACTTTTTAGACAAGGAAGAGTGCAAGGATACTTTCCCTCTTTATTCAAGTAAAATGTCACATTGATTTTTACCTCTCTATTTTTCAGATCGACTCTTCGATCATTAGGGAATACTTTATTGTGGTCCCAAGTGTTGCTGCTGACCCTGTACACAGGCCTGGTCTCAGCCCAGCGTTACCACCTGTTTGTGTGGACCGTGTTCTCTCCCAAGATGCTCTACCTGGGCATGGACACGGTTGTCGTCTCTGTGTTTGCGGTGCTGCTGTATCTTGCGTCATCTTTCTGGTGACTATTGAGGTTTTGTTAAGCTTAAATGTGTTGTAACACCTCAGGGTGCAACCAAGAGGAGACTACCTTTCAAAAGTTAAAATGCCAACACTTCGTTACCTTAGAATTACAAAGTTCTTTCTACTCAGTATCTAATTTTGTGTATAACATATCAAGCTTTTTCGAAAGCAGTTCTTTGAACATCTTGATAACAACTCAGAACAATTTTATGATTTTGTTAGAGCAGATGGAACATTTGGTTCCTGATCTCATCGTCTTTGTTACTCAAAATAGCCAAAAATTTCAGATAAAACTTTGTTATTCTAAGGTAGCAACTTGTTGACTGTTGTGTATCCCCACCAGCAGAAGACTTTCATGGCAATACAAGCATTCCCTGGAAGGCCAATTTTATTCCGGTTTATGGTCTCAGTAAGGACATCAATTGTTGCTGTCTTTTAAGTATATATACCATTATGATACAGGGTCCTTGGCTACCGATTGCCGCAGCTGGATGGAATGAGGAGAAAAGGTATATTTTTCAAAGAACGTAACTTTTTGCTTGAATGATGCTGGGATTGAACCTACTGTCTTCTGATAGTGAGTCTGACCATTTTTCTGCCCTTTGGAAATGTCCCAATATATTAGATTTAAAATATTTCATGTATCATGTAGGGGGCTAAATCTTTTTTTCTACAAAATTTTAGATTTGAAGCAATGGCAATTTCAAATGACAAGGATTATTAGATAAGTGGTCACTGGGATGTGTTCTTGAGCAACAAAACTCTAGATCTATCCCTGTGTCAATGACTGGACACTGCACAGTTTGTTGATTTGCTGTATCCTTTGTGTGTGTAACCTGAATTGATTTCCTTTGTTCATGTAGATGGCTTTTTAAGACAATGTAAGGGATAGCTAGATAAATCCAGTACTTTGCAGTTTTTATCTTCTAAAATTTTTGTCTATGTCTTTTGGCCTCTTAGATTGACAGCTATTTTAGATGTGATTACATTCCATTGGTTTTGTGCTGTGTTTGTTTTTAAATGCAGAATTCAGGGTTTTAACTTGATTGAATCAATGTTATGAAAATGAAATAATGCAGTCACTTTATTTTTTATGTGCGATAGCTATTTTTATTTGACTTCCCTTTTATTGAGAACCTACAAGGTCAACTATTATGTTTAAAAAAGATTAATAGTTCTCATGGACTTTGTTTCGCTGTCTTAACTCACTTGAGCCTGAGCTATTTTTCACCCTACAACCATTGCAGCCTGACACTTTTGGGGTACATTGAAGCATTCACCACAAAAAGACTGTGATAGCTATCATAATTTAAAAAATGTTAATGCAACAAGAGAATGAAAAAAATTCTCTCACAGAAAAAGAAAACTGCATCTAATTTGTACGAATAGTTTTAATTTTATAAATATTTTGAAGTGGAAATGTCTGGGGTTACTTAATTTTTTTGTGCCCAATTTGTAATAAATTCATCTATCGCAATGCGGGGCTGACTGACTTAGTTCATTACAGCTCAGAAAGTGTGGCACATAACTTCACCAAATTTTTTACGAAATGAAAAAGTGGGTCAACTGTTGGCTCACGGCTTCCGATGGCTTGTAACGGAATAACACCGGAGATTTCAATTGATAAAGCGCATCTGGTAAATACATGTTTGTATACCACCGGACCAGCGATTCGTCCCATAAATACACGAGAATAATCTCAAGTGAGTTAAATGACGGAAGTCAGTTTTTTTATTGTGATTCCGAAGTTTGCACTTCTCGCATCGGGAGGCAATGATATGGAGGTCCTCTAGGCCCTCTGGTCGAGCATTGGCTCAGTTGGTATCATGCTGGACTGCAGAGCAGATAACCCTGGTTCAAATCCCCATTAGGGAGTTATGAATTTTGGTTGTTTTGGGGAGTTTATAAAGCTCTGCCCATTTGGACTCTGTCCTATCAGAGATGTACGTCAAATTTGAAGCCCATAGCTTTTAATTTTTATAACCTTTCAATGTTGAAAAATGACCAAAGAGCATCTTGCTGTATTATTGTCTGTTCAAGAAAGCACATTTTGCTGTAATGTCTCATACCGGGGTACAGATATTTTTATCCAGCATTAACATTTTGCTTGTTTGATGAGATTTAAGTCTTTCATGTCACTGGCAGCTACCAAAGTGCTGTGATAAATAATATATTCTTGCCTGAATTATATACAGTATAACACGGATAGCTCGAATTTGTCGGGACTGGCCTCAGAAGTAGGAGTGGTCCGTAGTTTTTGAGTTTTCTTACAAAGATAAAGAAGAAGAAAAAAAAAACAGGACTGCAGGCACAGTTCAACAGATGCATGATTTCGAGTTTTCTGTCTTTGAACTATCCGTTATACTGTATTACTGTTACAATTTGTCCTGTTGGTATGGGATGGATACTCTTTGGTATTACCAAAGATAGTAAATAACAAGATGGGCCACTCAGCCAAAAAAATGTCTGCAGGAAGTATGCTCTTTGCTTCAGATGGCGCTGCAGTCTGTTTTGAAGCTCTCTTTCGTTTTTCCAGAAGAAGAATAGGAATAGCACCTCCTTGCGTGCGCAGATCGACTGCTGTTCATCAGCAGTTCGGGTTCGTTCAGTATGGAGTTTTAGTTTTTTTTAATTTTAATGACCTCTCGCCTTTCATTTTAAAGTCAAATTAAACGAAGAAAACAATCACCCTTTCCTCCGGAAGAGGTTTTTTTGTCAGCGTAACCATTTTTAAAAAGCGTTCTTCCGAAATTCATTTAAAAACTTGCTAGTTTCACTTTGATTTTTTAAACTCAAGTAGGATAACTCTGTTCGCTAAAGGTGCACTTTTGCGAAGAGGGCGCCACCGAATTTTGAGGACACTTTTTTAATTGGCTCAAAGAGAGAAGTGGCCCCTCTTGTTATGTATTACTCATTCTCTGTTGTCTGTTTTGAGTGATTGTGATGAATTTGTCCTGTGTCAATTGATTTTTTGAATCTGCTGGTTACATGTCATTAGGTTTGTTTGAGTTTTGTGGGGGGGGTTTTAATAGTTTGAATGAAAGAGGTGTGGTATAAACCACTTGTATTAGTCATAAAATCTCAAATCCAATTTTCATTTGTGATTTTTTTTCCTTCAGTTTTTTCATCTTTTACTTATTTGTTATGCTTGTTTGATATGCTGGGTTTTTTTTCAAAATGCAGTATCTTTTGCTGTTTATCTTCAGTTTATTCTATATTGCCTTATTTTTTATGTCATGCTTCAATAGATTTACATTTCTTCAATGTTTACCTTCCAGCTATGGGATTTTTTAGGAAAAAATAAAAACATGGATTAGATGTGTACTTAATGCGAAAATCAAATAAACAACCAAATAATTTTATTCCTCACAGTGTTCCAGTTGGGGGCTCTCGTGGCCTAGATGGTGTGGTGTTCACCTCACATTTAAAGGTCCGGGTTTGAATCCAGTTAGCGACAGAAAACTTTTCTTCTCTAAAATTGTCTCCGTTCACCTCCTTCCCTGCTCTCTTGCAATGTTCTGTCGTCTGTTTCCGTCTCCACTTTCTGCCCCCACCCCCTCAACTTCTTTGCCCCCTCCTCTGGGCTCCTGACTCTTTCTGCAACCTTTCTACTGCTACTCCTTGGCTACTTCTTACGGCTGTCTTTCAGCCGCTCCCCTGATTTTCTGGTAGGAAAGATCTACACCTGTTCTTCTCGGACAAGGGCAAAAAATCTCCTATGTCCAGTGTGCAAGTTGCGTACGTTAAAGATCCCTTGATGGTCTAAAATCGATAAGAGTAGGCTTCGGCCGTCACCCGAGGAAAATTCAAAATTTCCTACCAACTGAAAATATTTGGTGCATCCCCCGCGCTCATATGACCTTACGCAGTTGCGAGCGCCGTAAAACACGCAGGAAACATTGTATATGCTTCAAGGGACGTAATCTCAACTCACAGTAACATATTTATTATAGATGCTGATGGCTAAGCTGTTCTCTCCCATGCGGCCATGCCCTTTTGAAACGTTCAAATTTAAGTCATTATCATTCATTGCGTTACTATTCTGCCATCGTCCCTATGGCACTCCTGTCCAGAAGGAGAAAAACCCTCCAAAATTACCATGGGAATATACCATATTTGAGCTTCAGCTTATGTGCCCAGATGTGCATGTGTGATACATGTGTTTACTTTATGAACGTTGTCTACTATACTTTCCGTCTTCTATATGGTCGCTTTTAAGGACAAGCGGACTACCCCAGATTTCGGGGGGATCCAGAAATCTTGACCTACACCGAAAGTGGGCATTGCCCTACCTATAGGAGAAGTTTGGTTTCATTGGTGTGTATATTTGTTCGGTTATAGAGAAAACTCTCCTTGACTTTTTAAGAAAATGAACAAGTTACAAAAACTTTACCTTCGATCTTCTCAAAACAGCTTTTTGGGGGATAGCTCCCTTGTGCTTAAAAGCGACCATATTTCTGGCTGGTTGGAAGGTGCCACTGGTAGGTCTTACTTCTTTTCCATCCTTCTTTTTTTCCTGGTTGTTTGTCTTGCATTTTCCCCGGACTGAAAGACAATTATTGTTTCGATGTCATGTCCTTCTTTTTACTCAATCTAACTTTTTACTCTACTCATTCCGCCTGACAAAGTTTTCCACCTTCATTTTGTAGGGCGCTGAACTTTAACAGAAAGAAATCTTACTCGTAACCCTATCATTACGCCCTGGGGTCATTTTTTACCCCCGGGGTTGTATTCTTCACATTTTAGGATACTTCTAGTACGAAGATCTCTTTGAAACTTTCAGTATTTCTAAAAAAAATCATTTTGACAGATTGCTATGCAAAGCGTACGGATTAACGAGTAAACTTCCTCTTTGGAAAGTGGTGGTTGGCGGGTGCTCTGATGTGGTTTGCTTCTTCTTTCCTATCAAACATCTATCGTCCGTATCTCCCCTTCTTCTCTTTTATGTTTGTTGTTACTCTCTTGTAACACCTCTAACCTTCTGGCACTCATATGACCTTGTGCAGTTGCGAGTGCCGTAAAACCTGTACTGAAACTAAAACTTAGAGTTCCCCAAGTCGTATGGATACGATAGTAAAACACGACGTAGGGATAGGGTTAAGTGTGCGTGAAGGGTGCACTGGATAGGAAAGAACCGTGTACACAACTCACAAGGACAGACACAGGAAAGAAGATGAAATCAAATAGCTGAAAGAATACTAATTATATTATACGTGTACTCTGTCTAAAGGGGATAGTCAAGAGTACTCTTCCCAATATACATGCACTGCTTTTAAAGCTGCTATAGTTGTAATAACATTATTTTATGTCCAACCTAACCAATTTAAATCACCTAAAAAAGTGGGGTTGTTTCGCCCCTGCCTAGGTGGTGTCGGTAGTGCAGAGGTAAAAGGCTCCCGGACTCGTAATTGCGAGATTGAGCTCGGTCCAACGCTGTGTCCTTGGGAAAGGCACTTTACATGAATTTACCAATTAGGCTCGGTCCTTTTAGTCCTACCTCTTAAATGACCGTTACAGTGTTGCACTGGGTGTTAAACCTATACAATTTCGCGAATCTCGACTTCACCTGTTGGGGCAGGCAGCCCAGGCGTTATTGGATACATCATCGTTCCACTTGTCAACAGGAAGACAGAAATGTTCGATAAAACAAAACTTTCCCCTTGGAAATTGTTGTTTTCACGTCTTCAGCGTGCAAGAGCGCGAAACCTAACACTAAGAAGGTGACGGTGGGAGAGGTTAAAAAAATTGGGATTATGTTTTTTTTATAAAAAGAGGTATCATATGAATTTACGCCACTTTCAATACAATAAGGTTATTTTATCTAAGAAAGAGGAGGAGCCTTGATGGAACCTCACGCTTACTGGGTGGAGAGTCATGAAAACTTCTCAGACAAGTGCAAGATTGTCCTGGTAGGGATTCGAACCAGAGTTGTCCGCACCGTAGCCCATAATAGAATTGCCATTGTAGATTAGATGATTGCTCCTTCTTCCCTATCAAACATCTACCGTTCTTATCTCCCCTTCTTCTTTTTTATGTTTGTTACTCTCTTGTAACACGTCTGATCTTCTGGCGCTCATATGACCTTATGCAGTGGCGAGCGCCGAAAACCCTCCACTAAAACTTAACTAAAAGATTAGATGAAAGTAAAATGATTGTGCGTGCGTATGTGTGTGTGTGTGTGTGTGTGTGTGTGTGCATGTATGATAATTCAAATGTACCACAACTTCATCTATGGCCTATTTCTAGGAAGTGTAACATTGATGCTGACCGTTATGCCCGTAAAAAGACAAATCTTACTCATAGTCTGTTCATGTTATTGTTTAAAGGTTCTTCAACCGCTGTCATCCTCTGTTCAAATTATGATTTATGATCGCTCGTCTCTCCTTTTATCAATAAACAAATAGATGAATTCCTATTCCAAACTACTGCATGTACATTTTCTGTTTCTCTTTGAATATAAAAGAAAATCAACAATAATTAGTCTAGACTGGTGCGGGTAATCAAATGTTGCTGAATAGTGCTGGTTTTTGTTTTTGTTGATGGTGGATTTTGTTTTTGTTGATGGTGGATTTTGTTTTTGTTGATGGTGGTTTTTGTTTTTGTTGATGGTGGTTTTTGTTTTTGTATTCTCATTATGCTTTTTCTGTTGGTGTTGTTTGTTTTATTCTGTTTTGTTTTGTTTGTTTGTTGTTGTTTTTTGTCTGTTTGTTTGTTTGTTTGTTTTTTTATCGTTGTGTTTTTGTTTTGTTTTTGTTTTGTTTTGTTTTTTTGACTTTTGTTGTTTGTTTGTTGTT